TTTGGGTGGCTTTGTGCTGCAGGACAGAGGACAGCTCTGTGTGACCAAAAAATATCTTAGTCACAAAAAGTCATGTACCCATTAGGAAAAAAAATATGACTAGAAAAATGGGAATTCTTTTAATAGTAAGATAATGATTTAAAATTCAACATGGCTAAAATCTTACATGCTTCAAATTGAATGGAAAATTTTAGAGCTAAACTGGTGACACAAGCCTGTAATCCTGTAATTCTGTGTGTCGAGGCCCAACAATCACAAGGCTATGGCCAGCCTTGGCAAGTTAGTGAGACTCCTTCTCAAAATAAAAAGTAAAGAGGGTTTGTGATATAGCTTAAAGTACTTGCCTAGCCTGTACAAGATTGTTAGTTCAATCTCCCCAACTGAAATTTAAAATACATTCTAGACATTTAGGATTAAAATTCCAAGGACAATTATTCAGTTAAAAAAATAATTTTATCTTCTTAAAGGAGAGTCTTTTAACTTCCACTGGTTCAACAAATATACTTGGAAAGCTATTAGGGACTGTGGCAGAAGTCCAGGGATCCTTGTGTGTTGTTTAAGCCTTGATCAGAGTTCAGGATGCAGCAGATCCAGAACCATCCTGAAAGATAAGACAGGCCTGTGTACAGTTTGCCATCAGGCATGGGAAGAGAAGAGCATTAATTGTTAACGCTGAGCCATACACAGAAGCTACTATATGCAGAGGGATAGGCACCTCTAGACAGTCCTCAAGGAGGGGACAAGCACTTGCCAACTCTGGTCAGGAATGTGATACATAGATTGTGACAAATTAACAAGTTCTGACCCATAGGAGTCCAGACACAGTAGTGAACTGTCACCTGGTCCATGTGGCTCACATTTGAAAGGAATATCCTGTTATGAGGCACAAAACAGGGATAGTGCTGCCCCTCAATATCTCAGACTAGATTGCTAAGAAACCTGGTCTAATGTCAGTGTCAGAATAATACTACCTATCTATGCCTGAACTTATATCTATTTCCTCATTCAACTCCCCAAAAGTAATTGTTGGGAATACTTGTTTCCGTTTTATGAATGGAAAATGGGGGTAGATGATGGATTCAGTAGAAGAGTAATTTCTGAATTTTCAACACGCATCCAGAATCTCTTATGAATAACATTTAACTAGTCAGAAAGGGCAAATGACAGAGTAGGCCACCCTTGAACCCCAGCTGATTTGGTGACTAGTTGATTTGATGTTGAAAACTTGTTGCATTAGAGAAACCATTTTGACATAAGAGAAGTCCGGGGCAAGTGTGTACAAACACGTTGTTTAGAGATGAAAACCTAGTAAAGAACCAGATGGGACTTGGCAAAAATTATTGAATAACCCCTAAAACCTTTAGTCCATCATGCAAGTAAACAAGAAAAATGCTTCAGAGAGATCCTGCATCACTCCTGGGAGCTGTTACTCCAAGCAGGGAAGAAGGAAGAGAAATCCAACAGAAATAGGCCAGTGCAGCCCTCCAGAGTAGTAGGGTCACAGACCTATGCCCCTGGGCCAGGCTCAAGAGACCCTTTTTTCCATGGTGTCTCTCCCCGGAAAGAGAGTTCAAGGGCCCTTCCCTGCATGTGCTTTCATTGGTCTTCAGCTCTTTCTTATCTACATGGGCAGTACAAGAGCTAGCTAAGCACTCAGAGCCAGCCCTAAGGGTTTGGTTACTGAAGATACCGACGGTGCCTCTGACCCACCCTTGGAACATTGTCAGAGAAACTCCAAAGCTCCATGTCCCAGATGCTTGCTAATGAACACAGGCCATTGCCAACAGCAACTGCAGTAAATGAAGGCATGTCACGGTCCAGCCAAGTGCCCCCTCCTTCATACCCACCCTAAGGCGGAGTCCTTGTAGAGCTATTGCAAAAAGAATATTTTCAGGACCCAGGCATGGAGGTCCATGCCTGTAATCCTGGTACTTAGGAGACTGAAACAAAAAGACTCACAGATTTGAGGCCCACCTGGGCTACAGAGTAAGATGCTGTTTTAAAAAGAGAGAGTATTTTCAGTTACCATACAATCTATTCTGGTACTGACCTCAATATGTTTCTATTACTGTCCCTTCTTCATCCCATTACTATCTTGATGGAAAATAGATTTACATACTTACCTTATGATATAGACACAAATAGGATTCCATCCTTGGGGCCTCAGGTGATTAAGGTCAAATCCTGCCTCACCCTTCCTACCTCCATGGGTTGACATATTCATAGTTCTTCCTCATCTGTAAAATGGGGACAATAACAGGTTAAATGTGATTAAGGCTAGGGCACTCTCAGCACAGGCCTAGCACTGGGCCATAAACACTACTGTAGATATCCTTATGTTGTTGCTTAAGAGATTTCATTTGGGGTTAGGGAGATAGATTAGTTGGTAAAATGCTTTCCTCATAAATGTGAGGATTTGAGTTCAATCCCCAGAGCACCCATCAAAAAGCTGGGCTTAGTGGTGTGTGTTTATAATCCCAGTACTCAGGATTGCTGGGACTCTGGCCAGCCAAAGAACTCCAGGCCACTGAGAGACCCTATCTCAAAGGAGGCTGATGGTGTTCCTGAGGATGACACCAGAGGTTGTCCTCTGACCTCCACATACATGCACGTGTGCATGCACACTCCTCCCCAACACACACTCATGTACACATACATGTATAAAAAGAGATTTCATTTTGACACCAAATTTAGGATATATTAGAACCCAGCCGCTTGAAGATGAAATATGACCTGCATTTAGTAATTGTTTCATGGAGATGTGTGTGGGTTCAGCGTTGATAAGGGGTGGCGTATCTTTTTAGAGGGGCTGCATTTTGTTTGTACCACTTCTGGATTTGAGTTAGGAAACAGATGTAGAAACTAAACATTTCTTGAATAGTGTTAGCTAAATCCTTTTCTCCCAGTGTACTCAGATGTGGGATTTTCTCATTTTGAGATGCATTGTTATTGGAAAATCATCACTTCAGTCACAACTGAAGGAAAGCATGGGTACATGACGGGTATTGGGGAGGAGGCCCAGCATAATGAGCCAGGCACAGCTCCACCTGCTGTACTGTAGTTTCTCCCACTGCCTCCCCGCGGCTCTTGCAGAGGTACCGGGCACCTTGACCGAGAATGGCTGCTCCCAGCCTCCAGTGAGTACTTACTGAGTCCTTGGCCACTGCTGCATTGAATCGGCCAGGCATGTTTGTGGTCCATGCTTCGGGTGTGAATGACCCCAAGCTCTGGCTGGTTTTTCATTCCTATTCAAGGTGCCACATACCGATGCCAACAGTCCTAGAGAGGAAACGGTCCTATGTATCGTAGAATTGTACATTTTCCTCTCCAGGAAGTAACTACACAAACAAGAGGAAGTCTTTTATGACTAGGACTTTGGTTTCTTTATAGAATTTTCCAGAATATGCCAAGCAGAGACGAGAAGCCATTGATCCTAGTTTTTTTTTTAATATTTTATTTTTATTTTATGTGTATGAATGTATTGCTTGCATGTAGATAGGTGCACCCGTGTCGTGCAGTGCCCATGGAGGTCAGAAGAGGGCATCAGATCCCCTGGAAATGGAGTTACAGATGGTTGTTAACTGCCATATGGTTGCTGGGAATTGAACCCTGGTACCTCTACAAGAGCAGCCAGTGCTCTCAACCACTGAGCCATCTCTCCAGCTCCTGATCCTAGTTTTTACAACATCCTCCTGCCCCACTCTAAAATCAATATCTGGTTTCTAGATTCTCAAGTCTGTATTGTAAAGTCTACCTTTTTCTGTCTTCCCAGAGGCTAACCACCAACCTTACCTCAGTGACTCTGGTTAGGCTCAAACCATGTAATAAACACGAGTCAGGGTTTGCATACTGAGTATTTGTTTACGGTGAATCTAACTCATTCTCCACCCGCCCCCAAATATTTATACCTCTATGTTTCTGCCTATGCCAAGCACTAGATATACATAGAAGTGACAAAAGCTCTATAAGGAGGTCAAGACCAACATTAATGAGAATGAGAGAGGTAGACACAATGTAAGGAAACCAGTCAAGTTTCCTCATCAGGAGCTTTTATTCATGGAAGAAAAAAATGTGATTGATTATGAGCGAAAACAGCAAGGGGCACCAACTCTGAATTGAGGGAGGGCCTCTCAAGGTGTGTTTAAGCCAAGATGGTAGGAGGAAAAAAAATCACCCAAAGGCAGGTATGGTGGCACAAGCCTTTAGTCCCAGCAGTCTGGAGACAGAGGCAGACGAATCTATGTGAGATCGAGGCCAGCCTGGTCTACACAGTGAGTGCCAGGCCAGCTGGAGCTACAGGGAGACCCTGTCTCAAAAAGACCAAAAAAAAAAAAAAAAAAAAAAAAATCATGCAAGGAAAGTTGTGGGTAAGAGAATTTCAGGCAGAGGGGCAGCCAGGATAGGAGCCTTAAACCAGGGCACACACCTTGTTCTGTGAGTAGCAGTGACACGGTAGGAGAAGGCAGGGGCATGATCCTGAGGCCTCTGGAACTGTGATTTTACTCTAAGTTTGGCACTAAAGGCAAAGCAGGATTGTATCAAGGGAGCCAAATTCTTAAAGATCTCTCTCTTGTGCAATATCCTCTTGAAGCCAAGCATGATTAAGGAAGGCCGAGACAGGAACAGGAAGGCTGTGGTATACGGGGGAGGCATTACTATACTTCTGAAGAGCAGAGCTGGTGACTGAGGTTGGGACTAGGTCAGCCGTGGAGCTGGGGAGAGATGGGCAGCTTTGAGATGTGGCACCACAGTCAAGCCCAAAGTTCTTCAAGGGACAAGGAAGAGAAAGGACCAAGAAAGTCACCAAATGTACCTTCCTCAGAGCTGATAGGAGTAATTTTCATGACCTTTCCCTCAAGGTTCTGTCTCCTCTCATACACAAAGCTCACAGGTCTCTCCTTTTCTACCTAGTTGAGTTTTTAGTGAAGTTTGGGTGCCCAGACTGGTCTTGATTCTGAAGGCAGGATCAGAAACCTGACGGGCTGCTGTTTATTTTGCAGCCCACCAGGACATCCTCTGAAAGTATTTATTCTAGAGCAGGCTCCAGCATCCCTGGCTCACCAGGTCACACCATCTATGTAAGTACTTACTTCTGGAAGGGACACTTCTGGGACAGGTAAGTTCAAGGATTGGAACAGCAGGGTGGATAATCCAAAATTATTTCTGATTCTGACGCAAGATTTCAATGTTTCTCTGGCATCCAGTGTTCTTAATCATGTTTTCTTTGGGTAATTCAATTTATATGTGATCATCAGATCAAAAGATGACCTGAGGGGCTAGAGAAATGGCTCAGCAGTTAAGAGCACTGGTGACTCTTGCAGAGGACCCAGGTTCAATTCTCAGCACCCACATGGCAGCTAACAACCATCCTTAACTCCAGTTCCAGGGGATATGACACCCTCTTCTGACCTTCACGGGCATTGTACAACATGGGTGCACTTACATACCAGCAGGCAATACACACATACACATAAAATTAAAAAATAATAAATAAAAATTTTTTTAAAAGATGTTCTGAAAATGTAGTGTTATGATGTTAGACTCAAAAGATTATCTCACTTTGGGGCTAGAGAGATGGCTCAGCGATTAAGAACACTGGCTGGTCTTGCAGAAGACCTGGTTTGAATCCCAGCACCCACATGGCAGCTAACTCCAGTTCCAGTTCCCAGGGGCTCCAACAGCCTCTTCTGTCCTCCACGGGCATTGCACGACATGGGTGCGCTTACCTATATGCAGGCATGACACTCATACACATAAAATAAAAATAATAAATAAAATATTTTTTAAAAAAGATTATCGCACCTAACTTGCATATAGGTATTTGGGAATTAGTCACATATTTTATAGTGCTACCATTGGGTATCCTTAAATTATGACACAAAGATGTCTACATACTTAGTTTACTTAATATGGAGTTCTTGTTTTTTGGTTATCTGAGAGAATTATGGACCATCTGTTTGAGGTTTTTTCCCCTCTCCATATAAATAAAGGAACGTATCCTGAAGGTTGACACATTTCTCTATTCACTGGATTCTACACAGATTTTTCACAAGCATCTGATGATTTTTTTTAACTTGATTAATAGACGGCATCAATGGGCAACTTCCTAAAGAGTATGACGTTGCTCAGCAAGACATTTTGGTTTGTTTGTTTTAAGGCTCACAACACTTTAAACACGTCATAAAATGTACTAACAATGGTTTCTCAAAAAAAAAACAAGCAATAATTTTTCTGTTTGTTTAACCTTTCCAGGCAAAAGTGGACAATGAAATCCTGGATTACAAGGATTTAGCAGCCATTCCCAAGGTCAAGGCAATTTATGATATTGAGCGTCCAGATCTCATTACCTATGAGCCCTTCTATTCTTCAGGCTATGAGGACAAACAGGAGAGACAGAGCCTTGGAGAGGTAATAAATTCCCAGTTGTTGCAAAACACACAGTCATTTGCCTGCTTTTTTCTCAGCTTTCTAAGAACTGCTGTTTGGAGTTAAGATAAATCAGACTCTCCATTGCCCACCATCTGGAGATTCCTGTACCAGGTGCCCATGACCCCTGGGAGGTTATTGAGAGGTAGAAGAGAGGTAGGCCAACTGCACATGAAGGATGAGTAGGTATGGGGTGATGTGTCCTGAGGTTGTTAGGGGGAATTAAGGCAAAGAGGGTCTTGGGCGCAGGGTCTCAGTCTTGAGATGAACCTGAAGTGTATTTCTGAAGATCATGAGACGTGAGACCATACCCTTAAATTTTGGAAGCTGCAGTTTCCAACATCTGAAAGAGAGAGAATGGGATAATAGTTGGGGTTCTAGATTCAAATTACCCAGGCTCAATCCAAGGCCTTACCACATGCTGGTTGTTGAACTTGCCATGTAACAACCATTATGAGTCTCCATGTCTCATCTGAAAAACAGGGAGGAGAATGGTAGACTGTCCCTCACAGGTGTTTAATGCAGATGAAAGAAACAATGTAAAACAATGAACCAAGGGCCAGCCTTGTTAATGTCCAGTGTGGTAGTTACCACTGTTGTGACCTGCCCTCGGGGGCTTATTACTGTTCAGCCAGCAGGCCTGTCCCCCTGCTGGGTCAGAGCCTCTCCAGCAGCGGGGCTCCCTTCCCTGTGCCATCCCAGGACTGGGGAGGTCGGTGCTGCCTCCTCCTACCTAGGTACCATGGACTCTGGTCTGCCTCCTTTGGCCTCTTCAATCCATTCCAGTTGTTTCCCTTTTTATTTATTTTCTTACCATCATTACTAGGACTTAGCCCCAGGACCCTGAGCAGGTTCAGAAGCACATGCTTTACCACTGCACTGCATTGGGGCCCCTACTCTTTTAAGACTGGAGTCATCTCTGAACTGATTGGAATCCATTCACAGAGCTGTTGCCATGTAGTGCTCAGCCCTACGGGCAAGGTTAAACCAGAATGTGAACAGTCTAGAGCATCGCAGGATTCCGCTAGGCTCATAAGATGAACAAACGGCCTGAAGCCCTGGTGCAGTGGGACACACATCAGCCTAGCCCTCGTGACACTGAGGGAGAAGGATCATGTAAGACCCTGTCAACAGCCCCAGCCCTGCTCCCAAAAAGGCATGAAAATGTGACTGGGCTTAATTTGCTCTCAAATATATATATGTATGTATATGTATTTGTTATTTTGTAATGATTTTGTTATTTTGAAATGATTTTATGTATATTTATAGTATGCTTTTTATTTGTTTATTTTCTATTCTGGATTTTATTCCAGAGAATAGCCTGCATTAAAAAAAGGCACCATAGCAGGGTGTGGCAACACAACCCTTCAGGGCCACCCTGGCACTGGTGGGGGGGCGCAGGTCTCTGTGAGATCAAGGTCAACCTTGTCTACATAGTAAGTTCCAGGCCAGTTGGGGCTCCAGGGAGACCCCGTATTAAAATAAATAAATAAATTAATTAATTAATTAATTAATAATAAATAAATAAATAAGTTCTGGCCTGCTGGCATAGAGCTATCCATTTCTATGTAGTGCCACCTAGTGGTAATCTTGCTGTACTGCACCTGCAACTGTTTGCAGGTTGGTCTGCCTGGGTTGTTAGATACCTTTGGATCCCAGAATAGGGGATTGAGGGTAAAGGAAGTTTTCTGAACAAAATACATAAAAGTTGGCTTCAGAGGAAGTGTGCATGGATTTGGTATGGTTTCAGAAATACAACCAAGGGAGAGTTGATTTTTTCTCTAGGGTGTTGGGGGCGGCGAGAGAGAGAGAGAGCGCGGAGTGGGGGTTACTAACATATCGCTTTGGGAAAAGTAAAGTGCAGGTAGAATCTACAAACATCCTTGTGTAGGTTTTGCATAAGAAGTGAACTCTTGAGATTAGAAAGTACATCCCATCTGTTCTCAGAATCAACCCCTTTCTGTACAAATCTGGAGTGAAGGCCTGTGACTGTCTTTGTGCGCAGAGGATGCCCCCTGGGGACAGAAATCAGATATGTTAATGAACTCCTCTGAGACACATGGATCTTGCCACTGAGTAAACTTTACCAGCGTTTCTATTATTTATTCCCTTAGTTATCAACTCTTTTATAGAATCCATATGTTGTTATTTTTAAAACACAGAAAGCCTGTAGAAATAGCTCAGTCAGGAAAGTACTTGCCACGCAAGCTTGAGGGCCTGAGTTCAATCCCTGAACCCACGTAAAAAAGCCGAGTTTGGCAGCATATGCAGGTAAATTACAGTGCTGAGGATATAGAGACAGGAGGCTCTCTGGGCCTGCTGGCCTGCCAGTGTAGATGATCTGGTAAGCTCCAGGTTCAGTGAGAGACCCTGTCTAAAAATAAGTGGAAAGCAATTGAGGAAGACACTTGACATTGACCCTCCACACATAGCTACACACATATAAAGGCACACGTGCACACACATAAAAACAAACACAGGCGTAAACTTAAACTCTGTATAACCATTTGTACGTTTGGAAGGTGCATGAGTGGATAGGTCCAGGAACTCACCACTGGCAGGGGCAGACCTGGCTTCTGCCCCCTAGGGAACCCAACCTCACCCAGCAAAGGGGCCCTAGAGATGGGATAGAACTGCCCAGGACCATGAACTTGAGGAAACTTTGAGAACAAGGTGGCCTGCCAGCTTACTAGTAATATGGGGAAAGGAACAGGTCCACCCCCACCCTGTGTCCTCTGAAATGCTATTTGCATTTCTAGAACACCTTCTGCATTTCAATTGTAAACATTTCATTCACTCCAAAAATGTTTCATGGAGCACCTGATGTGTACCTCCTCTTGTCTCTGGAAACACATCGTGGTAAACAGAGATCCTGCAGAATCGAGTAGAAGACAGTTAACGGAGAAACAAATGCGCGATGGACTACTATAGGGAAGTTAGTGCTGTGCAGGAACATGAACCAGCTGTAAACCAGAGGGCCACAGAAGGTAGGAAGGTGGCTTTGAGCCCAGACCTTGCTAGAGAAAAGTGAGCTCTGCAGTGTCCAAGTAAAGAGCCCTGGGGACAATGGAGACAGCCAGCAAAGCCCCCCACCCCACAGCTGATAGGGCTTGACCTGTTGATGGCAGAGGAGGCCTATTCATCTAAAAGCACAGAACCTAGAGACCAGACGTGAAATGTCACAGGCCCAGACATGATAGTCCTGCCAAACTCTTAAATCACTGCAGCTCGGATTTAGCTAAAAACTAGGTTGAAGCAGGGCATGGTGATGTGTGTCTTTAATCCTAGTAATCCCAGGCCTGGGGAGGCAGAGGCAAGTGGATCTCTGTGAGATCAAGGCCAGCCTGGTCTACATAGTGAATTCCAGGACAGCCAGGGATACATAGTGAGACCCTGACTCAAAAATACATACATGCACAATAAAAATAATGAGTTCTCTTTCTTCTCAGAGAGGGAGAATCAGTTTTCTTTAAGGGTGTGACCCCTAATAGGTCAGCCATGCTTCACTGGATGACCCTACACCCAGGAGTATATGGGCAGTACAAATTAGGCTCCATGGATTGAAAAAAACAAAGAGGTCACAAAGTTGGGGAGTTAGGGAGGTGGGAGGAGAATCTGGGAGGAGTTAGAGGGATGAGTGAGGGGATGAATATGATCAAAATAGACTGTATGAAACGCTCAAATAATTTATAAAAATATTATATTGAAAAAAACAGCTGGGCATGGTGGCACTGGCCTTTAATCCCAGCACTCTGTGAGTTGAAGCCAGCCAAGACTACATATTGATTGAGACCCTCCCTCCAAAAAGGCAACTCATGGAGATGGGGGGGTATGTTGACAAAACCCTGCATATCCCAGCCAAGACTACATATTGATTGAGACCCTCCCTCCAAAAAGGCAACTCATGGAGATGGGGGCGCATGTTGACAAAACCCTGCATATCCCTTTCTGTTCTGACAAGTGCTAAGATAAGCACGGTTTGAATATGTAGGGAAACCAGTTCCAACTAGATCCACAGCATATCCATTAAAACCATGGTTCTTGGGTAGAGATGTGCATCAGAGTCTCCTGGGAATTTAGCTGGATTTCCTATCAGCCCACTCCCCACTTAATAAACTGGAAACAGGTGCTCACTTATGTATTTGAGGTGATGTTTCTAGCTCATTCTGATCAACAACTCTAATTAAAACCGGAAAAGAGTTAAGAGTCATCTTGACATTGACTTCTCTCTCTCATTCTCCTAGTCTCCGAGGACTTTGTCTCCTACTCCTTCTGCAGAGGTAAGTACCATTTTGGCCATTTTGGGAGTGGGGTAGACCTTGCCTAGACAGCCCCAGCTGTCCTGAAACTCACTGTGTAGACCAGGCTGGCCTTGAACTCACAGAGATCCACCTGCCTCTGCCTCTGCCTCCCAAGTGCTGGGATTAAAGGCAGCACACTTAAAAATGGACATGAGAGAAAGTGCGACCTCCTGCTGACGTGAGCCTGTGCTTATGAGTGGGAGGAACACGTGTCCACGGGAGCTGAAGCCTCTGTCCAGTATGGGGCTCTTGGTCCCTATCTTTAATTCATATAGACTCTAACATACTGAAGTGTCTGAAGTGGTTGATGGTAGAACTGTCTTCATGGTTTCGTGGTGAGTTGCCTCTTCAGTACACAATCTGGGCAGATCTTGAAAGCTAAGCAGTTTGATGGATTTTTTTTTTTTTTTGAGACGGAGGCTCATGTAGCCCAAGCTAGCCTAAAACTCACCATACTGCTCTGAATAATGCAGTCACACTAGGAAATTTGTAATTGAAGTCCTGAAGTGTTCTGAAGCTGGCTGTGATGGGCCAGCTGCAAAATGTAATCGCATCCTTTGGAGACTTTGGGTCCCATTGTTATTTTGTCCTAGCCAGCTAGGGCCAAGCCAGAGTTTTCTTGCTGTTTGCTCCTGAACTTCACAAAGCTGTGCTTACTGAGGTGTTAATGTAGTGATTATTTGTGCATTCTTTCAAATTCTTCTCTTAGTGTGCCGTAGAGACTCCATAACCTAACAGTTTCCTGAAATGTAGAACACCGTTTTCTGTTATGTCTTTGTACAGATCGTTTTTTTGTGCCTGTTACCTAGTACATCCTTTTCTAGGTTTGGACATGGGTAATAGTCTAGGAGCACCATTGTATTAGATTGAAGTGACATGTCTTCCTTTCTTAATTCTCTCATTTGTTGAGCATATAATATAAATTTGACTCTCATGAGTGGTGATGTCAGTTAAGTCTCTGAATGACTTACTCCTTTTAATGATCATTTGTAATTATTTCCCTGGACTATTTCCCAATATGAGAATTAGTTACTGGTTTTGGGTAAGCACCAACTTGTTCTTTAAGAGCATCAACTTAAAATGTCACTAGATCAGTTTTAGAGACTACATGGCTTGAAGGCCAGTCAGCAAGTTAGTGTTGCCAGGTGTGGTAGTGTGTGCCTTTAATCCCAACCCTCGGGAGGCAGAGGAGGTGGATCTCTGTGAAATCCAGAGGCCATCCTGGACTACATAGTGACTTCCAGGTAGACTGGGACTAGGGAGACCCTGTCAAAAATAACAACAACAACAACAACAAAACCCCCAAGAGATTAGCATTGAGAAATGGTTCTGAAGTGAGCCCTGTGTGTGCCTGTTACATGCCAGCACATGGGTCGCTGACCTGCTGGGAACCTCATGTCTCCATTGTTGGGAGAGGATCTAATACCTCAGATCTGCCATTGTTCAGTTATGTGGATTTATACTAGTTCTTTTGCTACTTGTAGTGAAAGGGAGGGCGGGAGGGAGGGAGGGAAGGCTAATTTTGTCTCACAGTTTGAGGATTCAGTTCATCACTGTGGGAAGTTTTGGCAACAGGAACACTAGGCAGCTGGTCACCTTGTATCCTCCCTCAGTTAGGAAGCAGAGAGAGATAAATGCTGGTGCTTGGCTCCCTTTCTCCTTTTTATTCAGCCCAGGACCCCAGTCCATGCAGCAGTCCTAGAAACACCCTCATAGTCATATCCAGAGATGTTTTTCCATGGTGATTCTAAATTCCACTAAGTTGGTAATGAAGATGAGCCATCATAAGATCTGATGTAGGTGACACACTTCATAAAGCCTAAAGTCACTGTACCAGCATGGTCATATGAACTGTTCCTTTTCCCAGAGCCCTATCACTATTTGAGTTTATAGTTTTTATATCTTAAATTTTAATAATTACAATGACTGTTGGTTGTAAACAAAACATATTAGCCATGGAATATCCACACACATGAATATTTATTGTATATAACCCTAGAAGGTAAACAGAAATATGTCAAGTGATATTCCTCAGGGGTATTTGTGGATTAGATTTTACTTTAAAATAGTGAAGAATCACAGGGGCTGGAGAGATGGCTCAGCAGTTGAGAACACTGGCTGCTCTTGCAGAGGACCCGGGTTCAGTTCCCAGCACCCACATGGTGATTAACAACCATCCATAACTCCAGTTCTAGGGGAATCCGATGCTCTCTTCTGACCTCCATGGGCCCTGTACAGCAGAGGTGCACCTACACACATGCAGGCAATACTCATACACATAAAATAAAAATAAAAAACTATATATTGAAGGATTGTGTGGATGTGCTGGGTGCTCATGCTTTCTCAAACTCTGTTCCAGGGCTACCAGGATGTCCGGGATCGGATGATCCACCGATCTACAAGCCAGGGCTCCATCAACTCCCCAGTGTACAGCCGCCACAGTTACACTCCAACCACATCACGATCTCCCCAGCATTTCCACCGACCTGGTAAGGGCTTCTCTTTATCTCTGCATGATTTTTTTTTTCCATGCCATTTGATAGCATATTGAAAAATCTGATTGCTAAATTTTTCTATTCCTCTCCCAGAACAAAATGAAAATTGGTATCTGTATCTTATAGCTTAAAAAAAAAACAGTCATTTATGGCTATGTTCACTGTGAGTTATTAAATTATATCTTGACATTAGACTACTTTGAACAAAGATTTTTTTTAAAGAATTGATGGAAATTTCATCCCTATGAGACTTTGAGATTAAGATCTCCAAAAGAAAATATTTTATATGCTCTTTCAGCTTATCAGCATCCATAAAAACCAATATTAGCTATTTGTTGGCAAGTTTATAGCTCTTGTCCAGGAACATTATGTTACAATGAAAACTTGGCTAAATACCTTCTAGAAAGAGGCCTAGGAGTCCTATAGGTAACTTCTAAGAGCCCTTTCAACCCTAAGATTTGAAAGCAGGCTTTGAAAATATAAACACTTCAGGAATGGGCCTTAATGGAGGAAATCAGGCAGTAGCAGGTGTTGACTGACCTTGCTCTTTAGAGGCCTTAGAACCTGTGGCTATAAGTAGAAGCCAAGTATGTGGGGCAGAAGAACAGAGACCCCAGCACAGGTCCAGGGTGCCCAGAGAAGGCCACAGGGAAGATCTGGCCTCTAAAAGAACTTGTGATGACGTTCTACATCTAGCAGACTCTGTTTTAAGCTTCTTATTGTTGGCTGGGTTGATGAGAACAGACCTATCCAAATATTTTAAATGAATAAATTTAAACCAACAGATATGAACAGATATAGAAAGGTTATGATCATCTCTTTGAAGTCATAATATTTACCACATGTAGAAAATTGATAACTATTGGATTCTTCAATAATATATCAGTTTCCCTAGACCAGGTTGGGGATGTGGCTCAGTGGTAGAGTGCTTGCCTACCATGTGTGAGGCCCTGGGTTCAGTTCCAAGAACCGCAGAAAATAATCTGTAGATTTACACATATTTTCTTAGTATTTATTAAGTTAACTGAAAGTTTTCAGGAAATTCTTTTCTTTTTTTTAATGTGTAACTATAGTCATTTTATTTGTGCCTGGCCATGGGTTTTGATTTAATCCTTTATCTATCTGGAAGGTAAAAAAAATCATTTTGGTACCACCCTGCATATGACACATGTGGAGACCACTGAGACTCAGCCCTGACACTGTCAGAGTGGCCTGTCATCACAGGGATATTGTCCTTCTCGAACTTCTTGAACAGCAAGGAAATGACCACTCAACCACCGTTTTCCCCTCAAAGCTCCTGTCTGTGTTGAGCATGAGAAAGTCCCACCTCTCTCCATCATGGTTCTAATCTGCAGCTTTCAGAATATCCCCCTCCTTCCACAGTCCAATATACATGTTCAAGACACCAAATGTTCAGTGTTAAAATGTTTTGATGTCTAAAATTGATGGCCTCTTTGTGGTTTGTTGGTATGCCCAAGTATCCACCCCATAAATTCTAGATGCTGGATATTTTAATCCCGAGCCTGGGTTGAGTTTTGATCATCCATTTTCCTACTAAATATTTGTCCTTCCAGTGTCCCCATGGTTCCCAGCATCCTATGGAACTCTGCTCCCCTCCCAACTGGGTTTTTGTTATACACAGGCTAAATAAAATGCAATTTCTAGTGGGATAAGTCTGCAGCTTAAAAAACAAGTGATCCTTACATAGAAGTGTTTCTTTTCAAGTTTCTTGAAGTGATTGTCATCTGTTTACATGTGTTTCCAAGGAAACACATGTCAGGTACCCTTTAAAAGCAGCTGTTGTTGAGTCTGTGATGTGCCCAGTTCTGGCCCTATGTAGTTGGGATTCTCCTGCAGTGTTCAGGGGGACCATTCCCTCTCACCAAAGCCATTTATTCTCAGAGATTGACTCTGTGTCCACCTGAGCCTATCTGCAGGTGGCCCCTCTGTCTAACCCTGTGCAGGTGCATTTGTAACCCTCTTTCCTTCCTCTGTTTTCAGATTCCTAATTAATGCTCTTATTTCCTCCCCCATTTGGAACAATGGCAATTTCCCTGTTCCTGTGTTAATTTCTTTCTTCTTTTCTGTTTCTACCTCGCCCTGCCCCGATTGGTTGATTCCTTGCTGCACAGAGCTCTTGTCTCCTGGTGTGCACAGGTGGTCCCCCCTGCGCACCAGCAGCTTCAGCTCCACCCACAGCGACTCCCGCCCCAACCCCCCCTTCCGACACCACTTCCTCCCCCATGTCAAAGGTAAGGAGGCAGGCCTCTGCAGGCAATGCCTGCATAGTGGAGATTTATTAGCACCCCAACAAGGCTAATAAGGTGTATCTCCAAGAGTTAGAGCCACCAAGCTTCAGACCCATCAGCATGCCTGCGTGTGTCATGACTGTCCGGACTGTGGCCTTCGAATTGGCATGGCATCTCACATTCTGAGAGGTGTGTCATTTCCAAGGGCTCCACACAATGAAATGGGAAGTGTATTTAGGAACTAAGATTTATCACCTGCCACTTAGAAAATTAATATTATTATTTTGTTTTTGTGTACATCAAAAACAAAATATAATATATACAAGGGTGTTTTCTTGGGTTCAATTTGCAATGTTTCCACAAAATCAGTAGTACTGAGTAATAAATGTGGGACAGTTGTCTTCATGGTGATGAACCACTGAATTACATGAGCACGTTTGGGCAGCATAACTTCTATTTCTCTCTCTAAGCTGACTGACTCTGAGTACTTTGCTTTTGATTTGTCCTAATTTCCACACGATGGGTGAGAGAGGCTCTGCCTTCTGTTTTCTGTTCCTGCCTGATGTTTTTCCCCCTTTACTCCCTTCTGGCTTTCTCACTGTTTGCTTCATTGTTGCTTATGACTCTGTAGCATCCTCAGTCAGGACCCTGGGGCATCCTCAGTCAGGGCCCTGGGGCATCCTCAGTCAAGGCCCTGGGGCATCCTCAGTCAGGGCCCTGGGGCATCCTCAGTCAGGGCCCTGGGGCATCCTCAGTCAGGGTCCTGAGGCATCCTCAGTCAGGGATCTGGGGCATCCTCAGTCAGGGCTCTGTGGCATCCTGTCAGGGTTCTGTGGCATCCTCAGTCAGGTCCTGAGGCATCCTCAGTCAGGCTCTGGGGCATCCTCAGTCAGGGCTCTCCACTTGAGGGAAAGGCTATGAAGGAGCCATCATTTAAATGAGGAATGACCCCACAGAGGGATGCTAACTCACGTAGTCCTGATTTGACCCTCATGAACCAACAAAAAAGGCAGGGGGATGGGAGACAAGGAGGCAAGTGTAAAAGTTACCATGGATCTGAAAATGGTCCTCAAGGATTCTGTGTGTCCCCAGTGTTCACACCAGTAATGCATCTGCATCTGCTGAGTAGCTGGGTAGCATTCAGTCTACCCAGGCTTTTTTCTTTTAGCTTACTTGGATTCTTGAACAACTGACTCCTAAAATGTAGTTGTACTAAACATTGTGGTGTGTGATAGTCCCACACATTTGCTGTTTCAGCATTTTCTATGCTTTGGAAATAATGACTGGGGTGCTGGAGGGATGTTAAAAGTAGTTGTTGCTCTTACAGGGGACCCTGGTTCAGTTCCCAGCACCCACATGGTGGCTCACAACCGTCTATAACTCCAGTTCCAGGAGTTCCAATGTCCTCCCCTCTTCTGGCCTCTGTGGGCACTGCATCCATGTGGTAAATGTACATACACATACATACATGCAGGCACACACACATATAATAAAGTAAAAATAAATAAACCTTTAAAAAAGAAAGAAAATAATGTGATGGACGTGTTTATGAAACTAGTTATCAGTTACTATTAGCAAAACTTTTGGTAGGCAGAGCACTTTCTAAAATTCTTGACACATTATTTAAAACCATTATTGCTAATTAGTATTGAGGAGAATTATTTTTTTATCTAAGTATCAAGGTCATATTTTTTAGAATGTTTATACAACCATAAAGAAATTACTGGGGAACGCTTCAGTTATATATTTTATTTTTAAAATATTTTATTTATTATTTTTATTTTATGTGTATGAATGTATTACCTGCATATAAGTGAGTATACCCATATTGTGCAATGCTGCAGAGATCAGAAGAGGACTTCAGATTCCCCTGGGACTGGAGTTAAGGATGGGTCACTACCATGTGGCTGCTGGGAATCGAACCCAGGTCCTCTGCAAGAGCATTCAGTACTCTTAACTACTGAGCCATTTCTCCAGCTCCCAGTTATATATTTTAAAGAGCATTTCATGTAGTGGTTCTTGGCCAAATTAAGATGCTGGTTCTTTCTACTATTCAAGAGAAAATACATTTTTGACTGGTTAAAATGGAAACTTCTTTATCTATTTATGATGTGTTTGGTCTTTCAGAGATATATATTTTATTGAAAAAAAAAGATATCATGGGCTCTGGAAAATCATACAAAGTACAAATAATACAGTAGGTCAGGGAATGTCAGTGACATCCTGTGTCTGAGTGTTGCCACCAGAAGAATTACTTGCTGACTCTGTGACCTTGAACTGTTCCATTGTCCTTCTGAGTATTGTCTGGTTTATGAATCAGGAGGGACACAGCCACTCCTAGGTCATTAGGTATGTGGGGTGAGGTGTCCTGGTGTCAGAATGGGACCATTAACATGATGCCCTTAAAGTTCTTTCTTTTTGCTTTTTGAGGCAGGGTCTCATGTAGCTTAGGCTGACTTCAAGCTCCCATTGTAGCTCCCCTGGCCTTGAACTTGTATTCTTCCTGCTTCCACCTCGGAGTGCTGGGCTTATAGGCATGTGCCACATTCAGTTTACTCAGTGCTGGGGACCAAACTCAAGGTTTAGTGCATGCTAGTCAATCACTCTGCAGACTAAGTTGTATCCCCAGTCCTTAAAGCACTTTAAAAAAAAAAAAAACAATTATTTTTTGTGTGTATGAGTGTATTGCCTGCATGTATGTCAATGCACCCATGCTGTGCAATGCCTGTGGAGGTCAGAAGAGGGTGTCAGAGTCCCCCTGGAACTGGAGTTACAAATGGTTGTTAGCCAACATGTGGGTGCTGGGAATCAAACCTGGGTCCCTCTGCAAGAGCAGCTAGTGCTCTTAACCACTGAGCCATCTCTCCAGTCCCCTTAAAGCATGTTTGATTGCATCATTCCACTTCTCAGAGCATCCCTGGGATGTAGGCCTGGTGTGGAAAGCCAGGAGCAGGGGTCCTGATGAAGTAATTGGGCATGGTTTATAACTAGCAAGAGGCAGAACCTGGCCCAGACCCCAGGCCTCATACCAAAAGTACGTTTTTATGTTAGGTACACATGCTTTGGAACAAATCTGCATGAACTCTAAGTTCTAAAGCAAAATCATTTTTTCCACCCCATGCCACAAATATGGAATCTTACTGAGGTTAATACTAAGACCTGTTTTCAGTCATTTAAATTATAAAATTAACAAAGTTTTGCTTTTCTGTAGAAATATCAAATAGTTATAAAAATCATAGTAGATCTGTGTGCCTCAGTGGTACATTGTTAAGAATGAAAATAAATGTTCTTTTCTGTTTTGAGTCTGAATTTGATGTTTTTAATGTAGTCAAATATTTGGGATTTAAAGCCATATACCAAGAGGAATTAGCATGACCTTAAATTTATATTTAAAAAATTTAATGATTTCTCTCATCTTTTTACTGAATGTATGCTTGTTTTCTGTTTATATGGACTGTTTTGTTTATATGTATGTGTCTGTATAATTCACATACAAAATATAACAGATACAACAGTTTATCCTCAGTTTTGAAATCAAATGAGCTTTTTACTAATCTAAAAAAAAAAAATCATGGGGCAGGAGAGATGACTCAGTGGTTAAGGGTACTTGCTTCTCTTCCAGAAGACCTGGGTTCAGTTCTAAGCGCCCTCTTGGTGACTTAAAACCATCTGGAACTCCAGTTCCAGGGAATCTGATGTCCTCTTCTGACTGCCTAAGGTACCAGGCACACACATGCAGGCAAAACATTCATGTACATAAAATAAAAATAATATATGAATCATGAAAAATTTGTTCAACAATACCGCCCTAAAAGACTAATGTAAGCTGGGTGTGGTGGCGCACGCCTTTAATCCCAACATTCTGGAGGCAGAGGCAAGCAGATCTCTGTGCGTTCCAGGCCAGCTGGGGCTACTGGGACACCCTGTCTCAAAGAGACCAAAAAAAAAAAAAAAAAAAAGACTAATGTAGTAGGGTGTAGTAGCACACACCTTTAGGATTTATCTGAGGACTCCAGAGGCAGAGGCAGGTGGCTCTCTGTGAGTTCTAGGTCAGCCTGGTCTACATAACGAGTTCCAGGCCAGTTGGGGCTACAGGATCTCAGTAGCCCCAGCTGACCCAGTACTCATTTTGTAGCCCAGTAGCCCAGGCTCTTGCCTTAGCCTCCCCACTTCTGGGATTACAGGCAGTGAACCAGCAAGCCTGGCTTTGTGCTTACTTTTGATCCTGAAGCTTGGCTTCTGATCATGGGGGAGTTCTGTTTTAATGAATGGGAGCCAGGGAGCTTGACTCACAGTGGAAGGTCCATCGCCTCTGAAATGAGGAGCTAGAAACATAAGGGGCCTTTGTCACCCAGTCAGTGGAAGCCCAGCCTTCTTTTTGGCCAAGTCTACTTCCAGGTCCTCATTTCTGATTCATGCAGCCCAGGCCCCTGGGGTTCACTGTGCTGGGGACGCTTGCTCGGTGTAGAGCTGCTGGGCTCCTCACAGGCTTCCTCTGCTTTACTGACTCTCCCATCCATTTTCTATGACGCCCATCATGCTCTGAAAAGATCCCTGTTTCTTTTTTGCCTTTCCACATCCCTTGCAGCCTATTCTACAGTAGCGTGTCATGGCTGGGCCCTTTGGACAGCTTCATGCCTAGAGATTTGGGAAACCGTGGGCTTTGTTCATTGAGTTCCTCCTCTTCCTTCCCCTTTGAAATACTACTAGATGTCACATCCCACATCCAGGAGGTAAAAATTCAGTTGTAAGCAAGCAGGAGGGCTACATGGATCAAGGCCCTTTGAAAGAACTCTTACTTGGTTTGCTATAGATTGATGTTGCTCTGAGGCAAATACATATTAAACATTTCCCAGAGATAAAACCCTAACTTTTATTGAAGTTTTAGATGAGAACTGTTCATCCTGAAACTTTGTCACAAAATTCTAGATGCTGCCGACTTTAAGCTTTCCTCCAGATAGAAGTTCGTATTTTATTTTTATTTTTTAAAGATTTATTTTTAG